TAAAAACATCATGTTTATGATAAAAATAATATTTTGTTCTTGTTTTTAGAACAGCACAATTAGTGAAATTAGTCCCACAGCTATGAAGATCTCTTTTTGCAAGTTTTTTTACAATAAAAATAAAAATCTGTCTTCTGCAAACTACCATGGTGACCTCTCCTGGTAGAAAAATATATAACCTCTAACCATAGAAAACTTAATCAGATTAATCCTCAAAGGAGGAAATACATCTGGCCCACTTTATAGTTTCGTTTTTATATCCTTAAAGATCTAGATGCCATTTACAAATCAAAACTGACACACGAACTACTAGATATCAAGAAAACATTACAGCCTCCTGCTGAATAAGCAAAAGCCTAATCAAGAGGCTTTGGCAACTTTTTAAAAATAATTTTGAAATAGAATCATCATAGAATCAGATAAAATTATTACCATATCTATTAGGGAATTAAAACATGTGATAAAAAGGAAGGATAAAATGTTACTTAAAAGTGACACGAAGAAGAAGGGATGAAGAAAATAGATGGATATAAGCATCCTTTACTGAAAACATAGTATTTCTGGTATAATTTTTTAAATTAAAAAATACTTTCCATGGAAACTGTATGTAAAAATACTCCTAAACATGTTTAGCTCCTGTGGGGCAGGTGATTCTCCCCCTCTTTTCCACTCTCATGAAACCCCACCTGGAGTCCTGTGTCCAGCTCTGGGGCCCTGAGCGTAGCAAGGGAAGAGAGCTGGTGGAGTGAGTCCAGAGGAGGGACACAAAGGTGATCAGAGGACTGGAGCACCTCTGCTGTGAGGAAAGGCTGGAAAAGTCAGGGCTGTTCATCCTGGAAAAGAGAAGACTGTGTGGAGACCTCATGGCAGCCTTTCAGTATCTGATGGGAAGCCAGAGAGGGACTCTTCATCAGGAACTTTAGTGACAGGACAAGGGGGAATGGCTTCAAATTGAGAGTAGGCTTAGATTCGATATTAAGAAGAAATTCTTCCCTGTGAGGGTGGGGAGGTCCTGGCACAGGTTGCCCAGAGAAGCTGTGGATGTCCAATCTCTGGAAGTGTCCAGTGCCAGAGTGGATGGGGCTTGGAGCAACCTGGGATAGTGGGAGGTGTCCCTGCCCATGGCAGGAGGGTTAGAATGGGATGAGCTTTAAGGTCCCTTTCAACCCAAACCCTTCCATGATTCTATGCCTTCAAGGTTTGCCTATGGTCATTCAAAAACTCTCTGCTAATACATCAGCAACTCTCTGAGAATAGCTCAAGACATTTTATGCTTTGAACAACCACCCAACAATACTAAATATGAAAATATGTAAAGCTGTTGTGCAAAAGAAAGCAGAGTTTATCCCTCGGGAAGCCAACATGTCCATGCAAGTTTGGTGACCTCCCAGAGAAGAAAGTGGCTGAAGCAGCATAACAGTGTGGTGTTAAATCTTAAAAAAATATTTTAGAGATCATTCATAGAACAAGGAGTGTAAAAGGAAGACTTACATACAAGTTACAAATATTAAAAGTCAAAAAGAACAGTTAAGCAAGCCAAATTTTTATACTGAAAGACATCATAAGCAATCAGCACGGATTTGATCGATCAGTTCAACTCACAGGGAGAATTTCAACAAGTGAAAGCAAAAAAGAAGTAAAATGGTTAGAACTCTGGGAGATATGCTCAGTGGAAACAGAGTTGATCTATGACAGGGATCCAAGGTAATATTAAAAGTGCATATATTTATTTTAAGAACAAGTAGATAAAACCCAACTTTAGTATTTAAGGGCTACTTTTTCCTTTTTAAATTATTTATTGCCAAATCATCTCTAAATTTATCAGTGAAGAGCTGAAGTATGAAATTACTTCAAGCAGGCAGGGTTTCTAGTTAATTCTTAATTTCTCAGAATATGCATTTTGACAGAATTTTATGTTACAAAAAGACAACAAACAAGCAACAGGTAAAGACAAAAAGAAAACTGTCAGGTTTTTGCCTTCTTCAAGATGAACACTGTTCAAGAGTCAAATTCCTGTCAGAAAAGCACAGGCAGATGCAGCTCTGCAGATTGGGCAGGAATGGCAAATTCATCCTGAATTCAGTCACATGGAATTTAAGGAGCACTTATGAAAACCTTTGGGCAGGAAGCAGATAAACACAAAGGAGTCAATTCTATCAAAGACAGTGAACAGTGTTGGCTCAAGACTGAGTGTAGGAAATCCCACAATCATTGTCCTTGACTTCTGTTTGGAAAGAGTTATTAAAAAGGCAAGTCAACTCTGTCAAATATCTCCATCTGTACCAAAAGTTCATGGAGACTAATTAAATAGGGAGAAAAAAAGACTGCTAAACACTGTCTTGGAGGGCCTTCTTGCTATGATATTGTCTCCCTGGTATATTCCCATAGCTTGTCTGAATGATGATAGGTTTCATACTGACAAGAAATTACCTTAGAGCACCCAGATGACTTAAGAACATTAATATAATTAAGTCTTTGAAACACAAAGACTTTAGTGGCTTAGGACTCATCTATAGCCACATCTGTTACTAATGTCCCATATCTACTCCAGTGACACATAGTATCCAAAATTGTATTTGTCACACCATCTCACCCACTCCAAGAAAATACAAAAAACGTTTGAATGTCTTCAAGTAGTGAATGCTATCCTTCTTGCCAGGCCCTACCAACTTTCAACATGACACTTTTGAAGTTGATCCTTCCCAAGTGTTAATCTGCCTCAATATAATGAAATTGGAGTTTTTTCACAAGTGGGAAAATAATACAATCATCACATACTAGTATTTATTTGCTCCTGACACACTACCAGGGCTATACAAAGAATTGCATGGTCCTTCAACCAGGATAGAAACAAATCAAATTAATCTTGAACTTGATCCAATAGATGCTTTGGCCCAATTTTCTTTCTCACTATACTGGCAGTCTCCACTGTTCTCACTTGCAAGAGAGAAGAGTGGCATAGAAGACAGGATACATAGGGATGTGTTTTCACATTTTGGTGAGAGAAACTCTGGTTACATGAACAGTCAGCTAGATCAGAGTAATGATCTAGTAAAGGGCACAAAAATCTCCACCTTTCTGTCAGGTGACCTCTCTCCTGGGTAAAATGGGAGACCCAGTTTGAAATTCCTTCAGGTAAAGGTGGGGAGAAGTGTCCCAAGCAGGAATCTAACCATTTAGCAACAAGAAACCTCACAACTCTGTTCACAAAGAACTCATTTATTTCAAACCAAACTAAGTTTTAAAGACAAATGCTTTCTAGACAAGTGAATCTACAGTAGCCAGCAGAACAGCCAACCTCCACGCTGGCCATTTCTAGGAAGGAAACTAAGGGAAGAGCAGGAGGAAAATAAACTCCAGAGAAGTATCCTCCAGGCTGGTGGAAGAAATTGTTCCAGTGCTGCCACTGGCTATGCACAATTCATTTGTCAGGTGATAACATCACTTAAAAATAGCTGGCAATGCTATGTGGGCACTATGTGAGCCACACATCTGTCTTCATCTGGTTATTTTTTGTCCAGCAACATGTGCCTGCACATGCACATTCCATCTGCACGGAACCCGTCGGCGCAGCACTGAACCCTTGCCAGGACTGCTGTTTCAGGTGGTGGTTGTGCTGACCTGCCATCATGACATCTCAGTGAGTGTAAGAACATCACAGAATACTGCACTTTGTTTGACACTGAGTGTGGCTTAAAGGCCAAGCAACATTTGTTACAGGGTTAACATTAATCGAAATCTCAAAATAACCCAGGGATCCTAATGATGGCTCAGTCAGTCGCACGCAAAAGCTGCATATGCTAATGTAGTCTAAGCCATAGAAAACAAATAAATAACTGTTATTTTCAAAGCAGATGGAAAACCAAATACCAAAACACATTAAAAGTCACCACTTAGCAAAAAAACCTGCAATGAGAATACTGAGATTATCACACGCCGAGATCAAAGGATTTGAGTGGCTAAAATATTGATATCGTGAGCAACTGTTTAAAAGTGATTTCTTCCATTTTTATCAAGGATGTTTCATCTCCATTTCTAACTCAAATATGAAGAAGGGTAGGGAGGAGCAGAGGAGGAACATTGTCTAGAGTCTGGTCTAGTTAATTGTACTTTTATTTCCCACCTCCTTCAAATTAACACTTAAAAACATTGTATGGTATTGTTTCCACTAAGTATTGTTTATAGATAGCTGCTGGATGTGTTTTCATACTTTTTAAGAGATGTAATAGCTCAGGGGTCAGTTACATTTCATCTGTAAATCAGCCACACAATCAGTTGAGAAAAAAACTATTCCCTGGCTACTGTGAAAAGAAGCAACAACCTTTCTATACCTCCAAGTGAGGAGGTTTTTCTATCACACCACCTATTGTTTAAATAACTACTTAATATCCCACTAAGAAGAATAGGAAATTAGATAGGTAACACAATGTTTTTGGAAAATACCAAGCACAAAACTGCTCCAAAACCCAAGATCCAAGTGGATTGGTAACAGCCACCACAGTTAACAAGCACTTCAAAGCCAAATCAGTGGTGCACAGAAGTGTGATAGAAGCTCTTCCTTCCTGTTCTATTTATTAGCAAACCAGGCTGACAGAAGTCACTTACCCCCAAGATTCAGATACTTCTGGAAAGCATGGTTCTTGGACAATTTTTTACCATAAGACTTAGAAAATATATGTTTTAAAAATCCATTCCTATAGAATATCCCGTTCCATGTTGCATGAGACTGATGAGCACCAATTGTCCACTATAACAGCTACACCTTAGGAAAAACAAGTATATAAAAACAGCTAATCTAAAAAGTACCCTCATAGTTAAAAGATTTAGAAAATCATCATCCCCATTAAACTATGAATTTCCTTTAATGAAATCAGGCACTATTTAAAATGCCCTGGTAACATGCTTTGCATGAGGTTTTTTAACAGTTGCCTCCCTTGTTCACCCAAAGCAATCTAGATTTAGCCAGACTGATTAGTCTTTCCCAAAAAAAGTTCACTTACCATCCAGAAAAGGGTTCCAGTGGCAAATTCAGAATAATGCTCTATAGTAGACAGTACACTGAATATTAAACATATCAGCACCAAGAGAAATCTGTAAAAAGAAAATAGTGTTTAGTGACTTGTCAAGTTGAACTGTAAATTTAGATCTAGTTTTATCTTGCATTCACATAACTTTTTGCACCACAAGTACTTTGTGTTTAATCAGTTAATTCTTCCTAGTCAAGTGAGTACCATCATTTTGCACTCATTAACTTTTAAGAAACGTGGAATAAATAAAAAAATGTATACACACAGATATAAAGGAGCATACAAAAAGGTATAATATAGAATCCTAGAATCATTTAGGTTGGAAACAGCCTCTAAGATCATTGAGTCCAAACATCAACCTAACACTTTCACGGCCACCAGGTGCCACATCTACATGTTTTTTGAACACTTTCAGGGATGGTGATTCCACCACATCCCTGAGCAGCCTGTTCCACTTATTTACTCACTGATGCATTTTGTATGTATATATCTGTATATATAGAGAGACAGAGCTACCAACAGAGATGCAGGTTTAGCCTTTGCAAAGAACTACTTGCATATGGAACACCCAGAATACGTGTTTCCTTCTGGAGGGCAGACTGAGCCAATATTCTTTATGCAGCACATTTAAACCATGACTAGAACCAGGAAAACTGGGGGAACACTAATTTCTGTGGGCACACAAGGGCCCTTCAGCTTTCCTTTTCCTCTTGTAGGAGTGCTGAAGAGTTTTAGACTGCCTTGGGATCCCCAGGAACACAGAACAGAGGATGATGAACACTGAAAACAATTCTCATCCCCATAACTGGCACTCTTGGTCTGGTCATTCACACACTGCAAGCAAATTGCAAGTACATGCTAACATAGACAATGCTGACTTGTTCAAGCCTAAAATTGGATTTGAAGTTATAAAAAACCCCAACTGCTTCCATTCCTATGGCTCTGGCAGGACTCTAACACTGTTATTCAAAAGCTGAGATTTGAGAAGATCATGGCCACCATTAATTACTATATTTCTTCAGCAGTAGTTAGAGTTCTACATGTACAACTGTCTCTGAACCAAGTTTGTGTTTCTTCAGTATTTGCCTATCCTGATCCACACTATTAACATGGATTATCCAAGTTCCTAATCAACTGACTGAGTGCTTTTTAGCAGCACCCAATGGACAGTGGGGTATTTCTAGTTCTTTTTGAGTTGAAGGCAGGAGGAGAGTATCTGATAGCTGGTTATGTAATTGCTCCATCTGATATCTGCTATTGTGCACTCTTGTACTTAAATGGTATAATCTGATTCATATGGGAGGATTCAAATATGTTTTGGAAAACATTCTTTTCTTGTGCACTCAAGAGGCTCTAAAAGGCTTATTTGTATGATAATTCATGTATGAATTTAATTGTAGTTAATATTAAAAGGTAGAAGAGATATAAGACACAAATACAGGATTTATAAAACAGTAGTAAACATAAGTGTACTGTTATCAAGTATTTGTAACTGCAAAGCTGAAGGAATATTTATGGCAATCTAGGATCTATGTATTTAAACCCCAGCCAGAGAGGCATATTCAGCATATGACCCTTTTTAATAAAATTTGAGAATCAGTCATTACCTGAAGCAAAACTATACATTTTAGCAGACTAAAGAGTACGAATGAGTCTTTAGTTCAACAGTGTGAAGCTGAGTTAGCCCTTTATATTTAGTGTTTCCCAAGGCACTCGAGCATGGCCAGCAGGCTGAGTAAGTCAGCTCAGTGAGGCTGTGCTGGGAGGGCTGGGACAGGCAGGGACACTGGGGAGCGACTCTGGCAGAGAGTCCCCAGGATGGGGCCAGGTCTGGAGCACAGGGCCTGCATGGGAAGGCCAACAGCACTGCCCATGATGCAGGAGCAGCCTTTCTCTCTGCCAAGGAAAATGACCCACAGGAGCGGTCCCAAGGAGAGCAGCCCTCAGCCCATTGCCCCCTGCCCTTCCACAGTGGGGCAACTTCCACTCCACAACCTCAATTTGGGGAAAACCAGGCATGTCCCCCCTCTCAGGGTGTGGACCAAGCCATGAAAGCATAACGGGCTCCTGGTGTCACCAGTAATCTCAGTGAAGGCACTTCCAGGCTGTTCGAAGAACTCCAGCAGTGGTGGGAGACTGCCACAAGAATTTCCGTGTCCCTTCCTGCTCAGTAGGGGTTTCTGGCAGCTACAGTCAGATGGGTGAGAGTTGGAGAGGAGAAAGGGGACACAGAGGAGGAGGAGCAGGGTGGGGTGAACTACAAAGCACAAACAAGCCGGTCTGTTCCGAGCTGCAGCAGCCCTGCAGCCCATCCCAGACAACCCATCCCCATACAAGATGATGGTTTTGGATGCTCTGGAGAGTTAGCCACTGCCATAATGTCTCACCACGGCTGAGGTCCCTCCAAGCAAAAGGAAGCAATGGTTGACCCTGCAAGGCAGCCATCCCCTCTCCCCATCAGCTTGGGCTCAGCTCCCTCAGGAAGCCCACCTTGCCTCAGTCAATATCTACCTGTAAGGCTGAGCATGCTGGGCTCTTGTCCACTGCCAGAACTGGGACAGGGGTGTCACCTGGATGACAGCTATTACTTCTCTTGCATCAGATGCTGTTCAGGAATGATAAAGCACCCAGCAGAAGCTTTGTACATTCACTAGAAAACATGATCATCTCACCTGAGTTTTCTTCCCCTCCACCTTTAGCTACTTTCTCCATTTCTCTCCATCACACAGTTCAATTTCTTAAGTGTTCTCTACCTTCATAGGTTTCTGACACCTATTTGCACTTTAAAAAGTTCTCTATCAATTATTTACTGTTACAGTACAATTACTGTGTAGTTACTGAAGAATTAGTCAAAGTACTCATACTTTATTGATACATCTTAATGATTTCTTCATTAATGGCAAATATCCAGGGCTGAAATGTCTTTAGAAAAAATAAGGCTGAATGAGGAAAGAGATCCAGGTAATACAACTTAGTCAAGTTCTTTTAGCACGGGGTAGATCTCAGCCCTGTTCTCAAGATTTACTAGTTACACTGCCCATCACCCAGTCCTGCTGCTTTGTTCATGTCAACGTACACAAGTTGTCAAGCATATTATTCACGAGGTTTACTTCCATTCCAAATGTTTATCTGTTTGAAAGTGGTGGTATGTTATAGGGGGCACAGAGATCTATCACAAAAACCCTAACTTTGCCTCAATGAGCTGCTACACTGACCAAAGATAAGCCAGGCAGCAGAGGGGGCAGAAGTCCAGCATTACTAGAGAGTGATACTTTAAAAAATGAAAAACAGAGCAAAGTCTTCAGGAGAGACACTGAAACACAAGCCAGTCTTTGTCAAATGAAAAAGAGCAAGTTGGTAAGGAGTTTACAGAATAAGGGTGTTGCCAGCATCCAACACCAGAATAGTCTAGGCATGGGAATATGCAAAACTTTAGCTTTTCCTTAACACAGTAGGACTGTTTTCCATGTAAAGTAAATGCAGATATAAAAGTAAGGTAAAGCAGGGTCATAAGAGTCTCTTTTTCTTTATACATTTAATGAGATCAGTACATTAGTACACAGAAGCCCTTGCAGGCACTGGGTACCCCAGTCTGTTGGATGCTGTGCTCCATCAGCTCTTTATCCAAACATCTTTTACTTCCAATTAGCAATCCCAGTGATGGGTAAATGGAGAATGACACAAAATGGTGAACAGACTTATCCACACATCAGGGCAGTGCTAAAAGCACACAGAACTTGGTTCTCTTTCAGTTCAGACCACGCTTCAGTCAATAGTCAAAAGAACACAGAAACCTGTCTGGTCCCTAAAATCAGCATATCAAACAACTCAAGCAAAAATGGACCAAGCACTTCTTGAAACTAGTCAGTCTGTTGCTTCTCATCTTTTTTTATGAAATTGTTGTTCTATTCCTGCCATTACTGCAGATCTTATTTCTAGGCAAAATGCATGTACAAAGGTATGGTAACTCCCTCCGAGTACAGCCCTTTCATTTCTTCCAGATCCCTGCCATTTCAGCTACCTCCTTTCAAAATACCTTTGTCTTCTTTTACTGCCCTCACTAGTAATAAATAAAAATCCAAGGGTTATTCCCATTCTAAATATTGTCTATCAAGATACTGAGAATGACAGTGCACTTTACACCTTTTCCACTCTAAGATAAGCAAAGAGAAGAACTGGATATCCCTACACACCCTGAAGATACTATCACTACATCTTCAATAATGACATTTCCTATTAGGCCTCAGGAAAAGTAACAAAATTTGTAAACATCAAAAAGAAAAAAAAAAAAAAGAGGTTTACAAAAAATTTGAGAAAAAAATGTCGCAAAGTGCCAAGATGTAGGTGCATAAGGATGTGTAAGGGAGGACAACTGGTGCCACTTTTTTGCTAAGGGACCCAGAACCGTGAAAATGCTGCTAATACAGCCTGCAGGTCTTGTAACTTCTCGCTAATTGTTGCTTCTCTCCTATTTTTATGTATTAAGACACTCTCTCCTTTTCCATTTCCAAAACACACATTAAAACCATCCAAAGACCCTTTAAATTCACTTATTTTACAGCACTATATCTTCTGGCCAGCGAGTGTCACTCCTTCCCAACAAATAACAAAGGCAGATCACATGAACAGAGTAAGTTGCAGTGGGGACAAAGTCAAAGTCTATCACAGATTAATCACAGATTAATCAAAAACAGCAACAACAACAGAAGAACCAAACCAAATCAAACCAAACCACATAATAAACAAACAAATAAACAATGTAAAAAGACTCCCCATGAGAACATAAAGAAAACAAGCTCAGTTCAAAGGCAGTTCACCTAGTCAACCAGTAAGCCATGAACTGATAGTGAAGATGTTGTCCCAGTAATCTGTAATCACAGAAAAGCTCTGGCATAAAAACTATAGGTTTAGAAAAGAAGACTGCAATAATTTGTATGGAAATAGAGACATATGCTGCAGATACTGATCTGTTGCACAGCTCAGCAGAGAACTGCAGTGGCAGCATTCCTGCATGTAGTCTGTCAGCAGAGGAAAATGTGTTTTATTAAAGAAAAAAGCTCTCTT